CAAGAATGTATTTAGTTGTTTCATGAGTGTTATCAATAATTGTTACTAAATTCTGATTATATAAGTAATCACTGAATGAACTGAATGAGACTGATTTTAATCTTCAGTCTCAGTTCTATTCTGATTTTGAAAGAATGATTATCTTTTACAGTTTATTCTGAAAAATTACTCTCATTTCACTGTTCTTGAATTAAATCTGGTCATTTTTCACATCATTTCTCTCAGAAATGATTCATTTTCAGATTTTTTTAAGGCTTGATTCTGGTGGAACTCACATCAAGAAATGTATGAGACCAGACTAAATGAGATCAAATGTGAAATTCATGGTCTCATCGGCCAGTCTAATTATACCTTCTCTGCATGAGTGATAACTTCTTGAAGAAGAAGATCACTGATCTTCATTCACAGTATCTTATAGACTCTGTGAAAAAGTCTTCTCTTACAGACAATTCATTGTCTGTTTTCTCAGAGATAATTATTCTCTGATTCTTTCAATGTTAAAAGATCTCTGATGTTAACTGTGAAAAGATTTCACAGATCTCATTTCTGAATGCATCAGTCTCACACTGACTGAGTAAGTCAGAATTAAAGTGACTTAGTATTATAGTATCTGTGAAAGCTTGTTTCAATTCTATAAATATCTGTATGATGTCTTGAGTGAGAGTAAACAGTCTCATTTTTCTGTCTTTCACACTTCTCTTTAACAGATCTGTAAGAGAGACAGTAATTCATGAATATACATAGATGAATTATCTATAGAAATTTATAAATTCTAGAAATATCTGTATCTTATGATATGTTCACAGCATCAGTTAGTTCTCAATGACAGAGACTCAGCTTCTATTCATTGAAATGTTATTCATCTCAATAATATAATCTAAGAAATCAATCTTCTGTATATAGAACAAGCATTTTTCAGTATTTATATAGAGTTAATACTGTCTTAAGTAATTCAATACTTCTTGAACATGAATATTATGTTCTTTCTCTGATTTCAAGAAGATTAGAATATCATTCAAGTATACTATATAGAAGACATTAACAAGGTCTCACAGTGTCTCATTTATATAGATCTGAAAGATGACTGAAGCATTACAAAGATTAAAAGATAAAACAAGATATTCAAAATTGCTATACTTGATATGAAAAGCTGTTTTTCAAATATTATCTTCATTAACTCTGATTCTATAATAAACATTCTGTATATCAATCTTTGAGAACATCTTTACTTCAGATAATCAATTGATCATCTCATTAATTAGTAGTAATGAATAGTAATTCTTAACTGTCATCTTATTGAGATCTCTGTAGTCTACATATAAGTGTAGTCTATTATTCTTCTTAAGTATAAAGAGTATAGATGTCTCTGTCAGACTCTTTAATAAATATATTCAGTTCTTTGATTGTACTTCTTTAAGATATTTATATAGAACATTTAATTTCTTTACAGATAAATTATAAAGAGATCTGTACAGTGCTGTTATATCATCTTTAAGATAAATCTTATATTATATCTTGATATCAGAAAACTTCACTGCTTCTCTTTCTGAAAAGACATTCTTAAAATCTGTAAAGAGATGTTGTGTATATTCATCTTTAATAACAGATACTACTGCTAATCTTACAGTGAGAGTGATAACTTCTCTATCTATTCTCAAGTCTCAATCATCTACTATATAGTATATTAACTCAATCTTTTTCTCAAGATTCTTTCAATGAAACTCTTCAGATTTCTCTATTACTGTCTCTTCATTAGTGAGACAGTACTGTCATATCTGAGTGACTCAGTTAATGAGAAAATTGTTTTCTCTCAATTACAGAAGATCTAGAATAACATTCTTATCTATGATATTAACTGTGTGAAGAAGCAGACTGCTTTTCTTGAAGATTTCTTCTAAGTCTGTGATTACATACTTCACTTAAATTATGTTAAAACAGTGATATTTTATTTCATCTGTAAATTTCATATGATCTGATGAGTCTATCTTCTTTCAACTCTTCATTAAAGAAAAGAAATAGAATATAAAGTTAGTATTCATCTCAGAGTTGAGTAGATATCTCACTGATATCTTCTCATTCAGAGTATGTATTATAATTGTAATATGAACTCAGAGATATAAAAATTATTAATTCTTTATTTCTTTCTCTTCTTTATCTTTCACAGATACATTTATCAGAAGAGAAGTTAACTTTGAGAAGATATCTTCTCAGTTTCTTCTCTTCTTCAGCTTTTTATAATCACTGACATAGTAATTATCAGCTCTGCAGTTGAAATAGAGATTTTTATCAAATCTTTTTTAATATTTTTTTACAGTGAGTGAAGAATTAGAATACTTGAAATTCTTCTTTACTTTCTCTGCACTGAAGCTGTTATAATATCATTTAAATCTCATTATTAATTGCTTAGAAGAGATCTTATTAGTCTTTTTCTCAGAGAATTGATTATTCAAATAGATCTGAGAAGTCAGATTAACAAACTCAGTGTGATTAATTAATGAACTCTGATATTATAATATTATTATTCACATCTTATAAGTTAGCTTTATAAGATAAAGCTGTATTTTTAATTGATTTAAATTATCAGCTAATTTCTCTTAATATTCTTCAAATCTTATATTGAAATTGAAAGAATTCTTATTATCTTATTAATATAATGAGTTGAACTGCTGCACTGCTGTAAAGCTATAATTACAGTAATCTTTGATTTGATTCAGTAGAAAGTTCTTGAATTCTTCTTAAGTTATTATAGTATTGATACACTCAAGCTCTCTCTTCTTAATAACTCAAGTACTTGCAGAGATGTCTTCAGAAAGATTGATAATATATATTACTTATATCTTATAAGTATTATACTGACTTGAATTAAGGTGAAATTTCTGTTCAAGAGTATGAATAAAGCTGTGAAATTCAGATAAGATATTTCTCTTATATCTCAGAGAATCTCTGATCTTAATCTCTCTATCTCTATAATAGATGTAGATGTGTAGAGACTGCAGTGATAATAGAGCAGTTAAAGAGCTTATATTAAAATATACAGTAGTTTCAGAAATCTTAGATTTCTGTCAGAGTAGAGATGTACATACTCTAGAGAATAATGTAGTATTTCTCTCAGAGAGTGAAGTCAGATTGATCTCAGTATAAGTATATAAGATTATATTAATCTATTAGAGCTTAACTGATTCAAACTTATAATTAGATTGAGTGATTTAAATTATAATATAATAGAACTGAAGCAGTGACTAGTTAGCAGTATTATATAGAGATAGTTATTTATTATTATTATTATTATTATTCTTTTATTATACTTATATACAAGCGGAGCTTATAATGAGTTCTTGTGTGATGTTAAATACAGGCTAAGTGTTAATTATACAGAAGAAAATACAGGTGTTGAGATCATATCAAGATAACAAGAACATAGAAAAATACAAAGAAGTGATAATTAAATACATATAATAATAACTTCTCAGCTCAGAAACATAGAGTGATTCATTGAAGTGATTTGTACACCTCTGTATTTATTAGAAATCTGAGGTGCTTGAGTTTCAGATTTAATGTATTCTCTGCGGGTTTTGAACCCACGCGCCTTGATTTCTCACGCCAAGGTGCTACCAGGTGGCCGCATTAACCATTCAGCCACTGGGGCAGAGATAGTTATTTAAGAAGCTGTATAAATGAGCTTAACTATCTTGCTTAAATAGTGAGCTTATAGACTACAGAGTTATTGCAAGAATATCACAGATATAATACTTAGTATACTAAGAAGATTGTATAAGACATGCAGTAACTCTTGTATATATTTCAGTAGAAGAAAAATGAATTACTGACTTCTTTAATAAAGAATCTAGACTGACCGTGTAACTGTGTCTGAAATCAGAACCAGAATTTTTGATAGTTTCATTGTCAATTTAACAGATTTTATTACACAGTTCTAACATTAGATAGTAGTCTTATACTATCTCAGTGAGACTTACTATCTACTCTTATTACATTTTTCAAATAAGATCATGATTTTCACTTCTCAATTTAAATTATTTTTATTACTTTAAATGACTTCAAATCTTATTTAAATGTTATTAAAAAGCATTACTTTTTAAAAAATTAAAAATAGTCTAAAAAAAACCTTAAAATGTCTAAAAATAGTAACTTTATACTAAGAATGAGACTAAATGAGATTAAATGAGATTACTTTCTTATTTTTTTCAAGTCATGATTTCATTTTAAGATCTGATATATAGTTACTTTGCATGTTTATTTAATAATTAGTCTCAGCAGAATTCATGCCAAGAAATGTATGAGATCAGATCAAATGAGACTAAACATGAAATTTATAATCTCAGTAATTAGTCTAGAAGAGTCAGCATCTAGCTATTCTATATAGACAATGAGTGAATACTCTTCTCTCATTTCATGAGTAAGAATAGCTGAAGTGATATCTCAGCAGTGTCTCATTGTCAAGAAAGAGTAATCTGCTGACCTTGTATAGAAGTGAGGTTCTCATATTCATCAATCGGATCTTCCTATGATATATCTGAATGATGTCATAGGGTGGTTGGAAACCGGTTCGGACAGGATGAAATCATCCGCATGGAAGCGATGGGCCGTGTGGAACCGCAGCGGGGCCTTGGCGCGGCCGGGAGCGTGACAGATTTGATGGAGATTTTGAAGCTTTTTTGTATCATACAGTTGAGAACTTCATAAGAGAAAAAGATATAAAAGAATATTTCAGATCTACTTATATAGAATAGTATTATAATAATTAGAAAGATTCAGATTACAATTCATTATAATATAAATTTAGAAGTGAAAGCAGTATGAGATCTGTTCTCATCACTATAAATAGTGAATAAAGATGATTTGAATTTCTGCAATTTTGTCTGTTATAATGGACTTTTTAACTCATCTCTTATAATTTGAAATATACTCTTGTCAATATTCATATGAAGCAACTGTTCCCTTGTCAATCAATTGAAGTATTCATCAAATTGAGGTATTGAACTGCTTTGAATTGGAGATGGAACAGCGGATTCGATGGAAGATTCAATGGCGGATTCGATGGAAGATTTCAACGGCGGATTCGATGGAAGATTCAACGGCGGATTCGATGGAAGATTTCAACAGTGTATTCGATGGAAGATTCAACGGCGGATTCGATGGAAGATTTCAACAGTGTATTCGATGGAAGATTCAACGGTGGATTCGATGGAAGATTTCAACAGTGTATTCGATGGAAGATTCAACGGTGGATTCGATGGAAGATTTCAACAGTGTATTTGATGGAAGATTCAACGGTGGATTCGATGGAAGATTTCAACAGTGTATTCGATGGAAGATTCAACGGTGGATTCGATGGAAGATTTCAACAGTGTATTCGATGGAAGATTCAACGGCGGATTTGATGGAAGATTCAACGGCGGATTCGATGGAAGATTTCAACGGCGGATTCGATGGAAGATTTCAACAGTGTATTTGATGGAAGATTCAACGGTGGATTCGATGGAATATTTCAACAGTGTATTTGATGGAAGATTTCAACAGTGTATTCAATGGAAGATTCAACGGCGGATTTGATGGAAGATTCAACGGCGGATTCGATGGAAGATTTCAACAGTGTATTCGATGGAAGATTCAACGGCGGATTTGATGGAAGATTCAACGGCGGATTCGATGGAAGATTTCAACAGTGTATTCGATGAAAGATTCAACGGTGGATTTGATGGAAGATTCAACAGCAGATCTGAATGTGGATGATAATGAGATTGTGAATTCAGTTCTTCTATTCCTTTCATCATATATTTCATCATCATCACATTGATTATCTCACTTGAGAATGCCATATTGAATGAAGTTGAAGCTGCCAGAGCTGAAGAAGAGAATATAATCACTGACATTTGAGAGATCTGTATAGAAGAATTGATTGTAGAAATTATAGATTCATTCTTCTGATTCTTCTTCTTCTTTCTACTCATTAATCATTTTGTCATCTCTCTTATTCTTTATCTCATTGATAATCACCCGTTCATACAATCTGTATGAGATGTCAGACTCAGGTGTAGGGATTCGCGGATATCAAGAATCCTCAGACTGAGTCTCTATATCCTTCTCATCCATCTGCTCCTCTATCTCATCATTGACCGGATCCTCTCCATTATCCAGAACTTCTGGAACAGGTAGTTTGGGGAGACTGAGGCGCAGGATAGGAGTCTTTGTACAGGCTTGCAAAGCAGCAGGACAGCGGGCGTTGCGAGGCATATTGAAAAAAGGGTTGATTGATATATGTGGATTTGATGATAAAGGTAAGAAAGACGCGTATTTGGATGATATTTGATTGAAAAAGACGTGTATTGGATGATATTGAATGATTCTAGAGAAATGCGGATATTTTGATTTTTTGGTGGTGTTTTGCTACTAATTTTCAGGGGGGCTGGGAAAATTCTGTTTTCGCAAGTAATATGTCCGCCACAATAGCACAAGTCAAAATGCAATGCAATAGCTATGTTTGCATGCCATATCTTACCAAAGCTGCATGTCTCTCTTTATTAATGCTCATACCTATCCAGAGCAAGTTGGGGTATCCATGTGGTCCAAGCAGGAGAAGACAGTGAAAGAATAGATGCTTGAAGTGTTGACAGAATGGCTTATAAGAAGGCATGATTCCCCCCAAAATCCTGAGGCAATCAAGAAAACCGAGCAAAACTATTTCCTTATTCCAACACATTTGTCACTATATCTTTATCAATCACAATGCCCAAACCCACAATGTCTAACAGCACCAAAGCTCCTCCCCCTTCACCTCTTCGCCCCCAAATACCTCCAGGTAGCCCTAACCACACAAACCCTCCGCAGCCCGTTACAATGGAACAGCTGCAAGAACTTTTCATGGATGTTCTTTGTCAAGCCAAGCAGTCATCAGATTCTTCAACACCAATCGAAGATACGGAGTATTCATCTTCAGATCAAAAACCTGGCTATGATCACCCATGCACTCGCCACTGTCCGTGGAGAGCGTGTGTCTTACAACCATCTGGAGCAGGCCGTGGCATCGAATGAGGAATTCGCCCGCGCATTCAATCGCATGGGGCCTCTCGAGACCATGTACAATTAGGATACAGTGTCGACCCCATGACCGCAGAAGCACGTACTTGCATCTCAGCCTTATTTGTAGAATGATTGAACGAGCAAGTTGTGAAATCCTCGGGCGTGTGGTTTGTTTGCAAACAAGGTGTTCACAAGTTCGTGGACTCAAGATCGTGGAGACTGTTCGTCGAGTATCCAAGCATGCGGTGACATGAGATGAATTTGTTCTTTTTCATATTTCTTTCCCATATTTCTCTCTCAATAACTGTATCTAATGACAAAGCGGCTGGAATAACGCTGAATCTCATGAATTGTGTTCTTTGTAAATCGAATTTCTAGCCGCACATCAACGGGAAGCGTAGAGGACGTTCTGTATTGTAGGCACCGTTTCTATCTCACCTGGCCCGGGCTGGCTCTATACATCCTCAAGTAATCTCTGAACCAGTTCCTATCTCATTAAAATCCCATAACGGTCTCTCACGATCGCTCCAAATATGTCTCAAGGGGGTAAGTTACCACTAGCGTAGATCGGGGGGGGGCTGAAGGCATATAAAACCAGCCCTTCCTCCCACTTGTCTTCCGTCACTCCATCTTCTCTTGAGTTGTAGGCTACTGGGGCAAAAGAGCTCAGTCACCACCAGCGCACTGCTGGTAGAAGGGCTGATCAACCCGGAACCGCCAACAAACACCATGACAGATGGAATTTGAAACTGTCATGTGATATCACGACATCAATCACGTGGATTGGCTCATCCCCCGAACAGAAGAACTTAGTTGTTGTAACTAAATATTTATATATCTTATAAAGAACAGGTTCATCGGATAAATAGAACTAGAATATACTCTTATGTGTTAAATTCCTGCTTTCTTTATTGTTACTTGTTGTGATACCCTTTCTCTTTCCTTAGCTACCAGTCTAGCTATCTTCTATTTGCCTCCAAAGCTTCTCTGAGCTATCGTCTTAGCTTCACATCTCGAAGCTCTAACACCCAACACCTTTCCATAACATACCTACCTACCTACACCATCCCCCTCCGGGCATATCATATTCTTATACAGTTTATATCTGTACGCAAAATCATTCTTACACTATACCTACAAAACCACCCGTGGCCGCCAGTGCCAGTGGTTTTGCTCGCAGCGAGCTGCCGTGATGTGTCGGTTTCTAGTATGTCGATGATATGCCCCTGTTGATCTGAATACGATACCCGCTTATCTACAGCCTTAGGTAGCTGTGTAGATAGCTATACAATATGCTTCTTAACACTATCCACATTTGCTTATATATGAAACTAACATCACCCGCTCCTATCACAGGTATACAAGGGGAGACATGATATCCTGCTGAGCAAACTCATAACAGAACCAAGCCACTCCATCTTAACTCAATCCTATGACTCTCGCCTCAGACTAGTGAGTTCACTCCATAACGCCCGACGGCGATTGAAAAGAAGTCAAAATGGGCCCCCAGCCAGCAAGCCAACTAACCACTCTCGCAGGACACCCGCCGCCCGGTAAACGGTGACGGTTTCGGCGTGGGCTTCTACACCGCACTATCCCTAGGCCCAGACCCATGCATCTTCACCTCTACCCTCCCCGCCTGGAACTGCGAGAACCTCGAACGCCTCGCCTCCAAAACAACTTCCTCTCTCATTTTCGCCCACGTCCGCGCCACCACCGAGGGCGCCCTGGCCGACAACAACTGCCACCCTTTCCAACACAACACGCTCATGTGGATGCACAATGGCAACCTGGGCGGCTGGAAGTATATCAAGCGCCACCTGGCCGACTCGCTGGCGGACAAGTGGTATCTAGGCGTCAAGGGTGGGACGGATAGCGAGTGGGCGTTTGCGCTGTTTCTGGATCTGATGGAGCGGGAGGGCGGGGTTGATCCTAGCTCGGCGCCGGAGGGTGGCTTTGGCCATGCGCTGCTGCGAGAGATCATGGGCAAGACGATCAGTAGGATCAACGAGCTGATTGCAGCGATCCCGGCTGGTTATGGGGTTACGGGTTTGGAGACGAGGAGTTTGCTGAACTTTGCGGTCACGGATGGGCACACGGTTGTATGCACGCGGTATGTGAGTAGTAAGACGGATGAGGCTGCGAGTTTGTATTTTTCGTCCGGGACGAAGTGGAAAGAGGGGAAGACGAAGGGGCATTTTAAGATGGAGAGGCATGACAAGGGGGCGGATATTGTGCTGGTGGCCAGTGAGCCGTTGACGTTTGAAAGACGTGAGTGGTTTTTTAGTCTCTCTCTCACTCCCCTTTTGTATTTTCTTCTTTTATGCCTTTTTACGCTACAATCTCTTCCCCCCCCCCCCAAAAAAAAAAAAAAAATCAAAAAAAAATCCGTACGTGTGTTGCTAAAATCCCATCTAGATAACTGGGTAACCGTCCCCACCAACTCCATGCTCACAATCCACAAACAAACCGTCCTCATCCACCCCATCATCGACGAGTTCTACGACGACGACCCAAACCACGACCGCTCTGCCGGCTTCGCCGTCTCCAAGGGCCTCGTCAGCAAAGCCCCCGGCACCACCGTCTCCCTAGATAATACTAACACGAATGACTCCACCACCACCACCACCACCAACAACAACAACAACAATCCGCCATCCATCTCAGAACCGTTCACGGCTGCTGATACCCCCGGTTTAGCCCCCCGGGTGAAGAAGCAGGGTAACAATGGCGGACCAGGGCTAGATGAATTGGAGCGGGAGATACGACGTGTGCAGCTTCGGGTGTGATTTTTCGCTCTCTTATGGTTCCTGCTGTTGGATAGATACATTGGGGACTCTTTTTGCGTAGGTTTTTTTGGCCTTGGATGGTTTCCCCGGGGGAAGGGGGAAAACCCATTTTAACGACAGGTTTTTTTTTTTTTTTTTTTTTTTTTTTTTTCCTGGTCGGTGTCAGGATTTGATGGCCTGTTAAACAATCAGGGTTTCATTATGTTGATTTGGGATAAAAAAAGAAATCGGCGTCTATCAAGAGGGTGGTGGGTGCCACAGGTGAAAGGAATTGATATTGATAGGATGGATCAACAAGGATAAATATATGGTAGCGGCGAGGAGTTAGTTTTTCCCCTTTTTTTGGTTACGCTACGTTACGCCTTATCTTTATGGTTTTGTTATTGATTATCATCCAACCTCCAAACCCTCATTTTTATCCCCCTTTTCGGCCCAAAAACAACAGGCAGTCAGCCAGAGTCAGTTAATCTTTTTTAGAATAGCATTCCGGGATACGCGATTCAATATACCCCCTTGTTAGTTAGAGTTATATATTTCTTCGAAGGAAGTTAAAAGGCAAACGCCCCCAAAGTAACGGTATGTAGACATGAAGTTCCCACATGCCGTGGTAACATGTAACGGGTTTATATACCCAAGCCCTTTGAATAATATAAACAAAACATATCATACAAAACCCATAAACCCCCACCTCAACACCGATGAAACAAAACAATATATCTAGAAGGGAAAAAAGCAAGAAATACAAGTAACCACTAAGTATCCTCCCCCGAAATATTCGCATGCCGAAAATACTTCATCCCCACCCACGCCACAACAACCCACACCCACGCCATCACTGCCGTGCAGATAATAAGCGCAGGATAATACCCCACAATCGGCAGCGTCGGATCATCCTCCAGCTCCGGTGGCGCGTACGGCGTCTCTCCCACATCCCACGCCCAGCTCCACACCCCCAGACAGCTGCCCATGCCCACCACGAAGACCAGCCAGGTTACCAGGAGGATTATCCACCCCCACCACTCCGTCTCAGCGTAGTCCCAGGCTTCTTCGAGGGCGGAGCTACTGGCGGCGGCGGCGGCGGCTACGGCTGCGGCTGCGGCTGCGGCGGTAGGAGAGGTGGTAGCGGTGGTGTTGGCGCCTGCGGCGGTGGCGTTAGGGAAGTCATCGGATACCGATACCCCTGAGACGCCGGATACGGAGGGGGATGCTGTGGTTGTTGTGGATGGGGGTGCGGCGGGGGTTTCGATGGCAGCTGGCTCGGCGCCTGATAATGATAGGGGGGATTTTACGCGGTGGGAGATGGAGCGGAGGCCGGTGAAGGGCATGTTTGTGGCTGTTTGGGAAACGGGGGGGAAGTAGGAGTCGGAGCTTGAAAAGGGGTTGGAGATTGTGAAAGGGAGGACGCGGCGCGAGGTAGTAGTGGTGGTGGTGTGTCGTGTGTCTGTACCTGGGCCGAGACCGCTACCATTGCTGTTGCTGTTGCTGTTGTTGTTGTTGCTCTTACCGCCGCTGCTGCTGCTGCTGGTTGTTGATGTTATGGAGATGGTGGACGTTGTGGTGGTGGTGCTGGCGTTGCTGGCAAGGCGGGTAAGCGGGGTTGAAGTTTGTGTTTGACGGGGGTTGGAGGGAAAGGAGAGGAGTTCGGGTTCGTCGTTGCGGTTGTCGTTGTCAGGATGGGTAGGGTTATTTGATTGCAGCTGTTCCTGTTCCTGGGATGACTGCTCTTGGCGGTGGTGGTGCTGCTGCTGCTGCTGCGGGGTGTTTGAAGGAGAAGATCTCTGGGTAACCCAGGTCCGAGATGGCGGCGGCGGCGGAATCGGCGGCGGAGGATGAGAAGGGGCTGGAGGATGGTTCGGCGCCGCAGACAGAGACGGAGGCAGCGTGGTTAGTTGGTTATGACTTCCCCGTCGCGGTGTCAAGACTTCCTCCCCATCCCCGTCTGGGGAGGAAGGAGGTAACGGCGGAAAGCGCAGTAATCCCCCTCCATCGCCGGCACCATTTGTAGTATCATTATCATTTTTATCAGGCGTAGTATTACCACCCGTATGATCACTGTCCAACCCACCCTTCCGCTCCGCATATGTATCCACGACCCCCTCCTTCGTAACCCCTGAAGGAGACGAAAGCGGCGAAGAAGCCAGCGAAGAACTAACCCCCCTCTCCCTCTCCCTCCTCCCATCAGACCTCAATGGCCCCGTCCCCAACAACGCCGTCTTCCTCAACGACCCCTTCCGCCTCCGCGTCTTGCGCTGCTGCTGCTGCTGCCGCTGCTGCAGCGCACTGGCCATTGCATTTCCACCAGTAATAATACCAACGCCCTTGGCGGCCGCCGCTATTCCCCCTATTGCCCTGTCTCCTCTGTCAATATCCTGCCCATGTTGCGCATACACTTCTTCTGCATCGGTATCCGTGCCGGTTCCGATTCCGCTACTACTAGGGCTCTCAGGACTGCTAAGACTACCACTACCACTACCGGGGTTCACACCGCGCGCCAACGAGAGGCGCGAAAAGAGCGACCTGGATATGGTGCGTTTATGTCCGCTGGGACTCCCGCCGCTGGGTGTGGTGGTGGTGGTAGTGACTGGGCGTGGGCCGGGACTAGTTGATGCGCGGGTGCGTCTTGGAGATGTGGGTGGGTGTCTGGGTTCTTTCGGGCTTGCTGGGGCGGGATGAGGTGGTTGTGGTTGTGATGGTGGAGGATGTGGTGGTCGTGGTGGTGTTACATTTTCCATCGGGGGGTTTTGGTTTTTTTTTCTTGGGTGGGGCGGGATCCGGTTCCCACGCTGTAGGATATGGTATCAGGCGTATACTCGTTTACGTAGGTTAGGTAGGTTATATCTATAGTAGTATATATATGGCGGAGTGAGAACCGTTGGTGATATCCCCGGGGGTATGCGATGTCGGGATGTCTTCCGATGGATTCGTCGAGGTAATTGGGGAATTAACTTATTAACTGGTTGAATAGAGACGGTAGATAGAGAATTAAAATAAGAGAAATGAAATTTATTTATACAGAGATAGAGAGGGAATGAAAGTATTTGTTTTTTTTTCTTTTTTTGAAAAAAAAAGGGTGGTGGTGGTGGTGATGAAGGTCGATGATGATGCTCAAAGCTCTCTTCTCTCTCCGCACGCCGCCCGCGCTAGGCTAGTAACTTAGTTATCATTGGCGGTTATTTATTGACATATTGCAGCCAGCTTTAACTAAAACTACTCTCTGTACGGAGTACAATCGAAGTCATTACTCACAAAATAATAACAAAGCAACATAACTATCTAACAGAAGAATTAATAAGAGAGTATTATTAACTAATTTTTAATGATTGTTGAGGAGGAAAAATATAAAAAATAAAAAATAAAAAAATAAAAATAAACACGAGATCCCTTTCATTCTGTGTGTGGCGGCGGTTGAAAATTAAAGACTTGAACAACGTGGTGAATGCAAGGAGAATATATAGCAATTAAAAAAAAGAATGAGGAAAAAGAGAAGAGAATAGACAAAAGAGAAACAGAAGCATGTGTACTAACAGCACAATCATTGCATGATGTACAGTTATATAAAAATGAATATCGTAATCATCATCATCGTAATCATAATCATAATCATTATCATAACTATTATCAAAGCGACAAAGAGCCAAAATGATAGAAAAATGTCAATTTAACAACGTCAGATTTGGCAGGTTCATTAAAAACATACAAAGTGAAGGCGAGTGTAAGAAGAAAAGAGAGAGACTGAGCCAGAAATTTTTTTGGGAAAAATAAATTTCGCAAAATGGAAGTTGAAATCATAGTAATAATAACGGATCGAAGCAAGACATCGACAATCGTGAGCTCGGAAATAAATATGAAAATCCAACAAGTATTCAAGATGTGAGCTGTTTTGAGACGGCAGAAGGAGAAAGACAAAAAGGGGGGTATTCTGTTTTGCTTGATTTGTAGGAGGGATTAAAAAAAAAAAAAAAGAGAGAGAGAACACGAACACGAACACGTAGGAAAACAGCAAAGTTACACCGGAAAAAGAGTAGAAAAGACTAATAATAATAGAAGAGAATTTTTCATTTCAGAGAGAGAAAAAAGGCCCAACCAACCGCTAAAGAAAAAAGAAAACAGCGGATTGGGCGATAATGGGAGAAACAAAGGACGAAGAAAACAACTTCGATATAGATATAAAGAGGGAAATTAGAAAAGAAACCTAGAAAACAGCGCGGAATGACGAGACCCATAATACTTTCGATAACTCAATGACAACAAATTTTTTTTTTTTTCGGAAGAGCAGACAAACACGAGACAGGTCAATCGAATGGCGTTAGAATAAAGCAAATTGCAGTAAGAGGGAAAAAAGGACAATAGTAAGGCGGGATAAGAAGCAGAGGCGGGAAAGGAAGGGGAAAACCAAACGCGGTAGGATGATAAATGAGGAAAAGATAAAAAGCAACAGAGCGATGAAAGAATCGGGTGGCTTGAAAGACGTTAAGGCAAACCAGGGAAGAAAAAGAGATATAATCGGAATGGGAAACAACAAAATTGAATACCTTCCTCACAAACAATTCAAAACAATCAATCTTAATAATATGTCGAGCTTGCGCGGCGGGGGTATTTTTATTATATTTGCTGTTTTGCAAGGAATGGACGTGGGTTAAAAAAGAAAATTAACCGAGTGTGTCATGCCATCCTAGCAGTTGCATTGCGCGCACAAAAGAACTAAAATAAAAATTAAAACGGAGGAATTTCGATGTTTGTTGTTCAGTGTCCTTTTTGCCTTAAGGTTGGTACCCTCCAAACCCATTCCCAAAGCTTCCACTATTCGGTTGAGCCCAGCCTGACGCTTGAGTGGACTGTCCGCGGCCGTATCCGGCCGCGCCGCCTGGAAGTTGCTGACCGTAGCCTCCTGCGGCGGGCATCCCAGGGCCTCCACCAAAGTTTGTAGCTCCTTGCTGATCCCAGCCGCGACCGCCAGGGCTAGGTCCTGCACCGCCTAATTGGGAGAAGTTAGTCAGTACAAAAATCCTATGCTTTGGGTGTAAGAGGTGGGAAGCTGTTTTGGGGGGGGCACTAACTACCTACCTTGGGGAGTCATAGGACCGCTCGGACCGCTGTATTGCGGGAAATAGGGCGAGGTGCTGGAGTTGAAAGTCGGGGTGCCACTCTGTTGAGGAGAATACCCTTCAAATTGCCCGGTTGGTGGGCGGTCCTTTCCCCACTATGATTTTTATAAGAAAATAGAGTCAAAAACGTGGTCCTTTTATACATGTATGATATTATTAGCACCCAAGGGGGGGGAGGGGGGATGTATCACTCACGCTACACTTTAATGGACGACCGTTGACATTGTAGCCGCTAAGTTGACAGATGGCCATGGCAGCATTCTCGTGCGTGTCCATCTTGACCAAAGCGAATCCGCGATCGGCCTGGAATCGGGGTCTCGACGACATAACCGAAAATTCTGGGAAGAGAGGGATAAAGATCGTTTTGTGTTGTTATATTGGGTGTGAGGTTCCCAACGTAACCAGGTGTGTTTGCCCATTTGGAGTGGTTTTGAAGCGGCCACCCATGTTCATAACTTTTGGACTCCCATTGGGTGGGGGAAATCGTGGGTGGCCCGATGGGG